TTCTTAATTACTTTTCCTTGGGCTCTTTCCCTGATTCTAATGCTTTGCTTTAATCAGCTCTTTCTTAATCTTTTCTGTTTAACTTTATTGTTTTATCTTTTAGTATATTGAGAAATTGGTCGGGTTACGACAATACTTCAAGATCTTGACAATTCTTGCCCTCCCACACCCACGCTTCCTACTTCCTATGACTCAATCTAATAAAAACCCAGCTTTTGATTTCTCTTCTCCCATCAAAATCTTACAACGGAACGGACACTCCTTCTCAAATAAAATTGACTTGCTCAGATCAATTACAAACGAATTCGAATTCGACATCATCGAGCTATCCGAAACTTGGCTTAACCCAGATTCAGTTTTCTCTTTCCAAAATCGACGGCCAGGCCTTATACTCACAGGAGAAACTCTAGCTCTGCTAAAATGCCCCGACTTCACACTCGATAACAAAACAGTAAACTCTTCTATTTTTACCGTTTCTCGAAGTTTGGGCGAAACCTTACTTTCAGCAAAACCCCTGAGTGACCTAAACTGTCTAACCTGCGAAATCAAGGAAAAACTCAGAGTAGCCATGCTTTTGAATTGCAATGTTTCTGTAAATTGGATCCCTAGTCATTCGGGAATACTAGGGGGTGAAACGGCCGATTTACCCGCCAAAATAGCCATCCGCACGGGGGAGCCAGTTTCCCGGCTCTTCTCTCACAGCGATCTTCACTCCTTGGCTCGTACTCGCCTGCCGAAAATGATCGATTAAAACGGATTTTAAAAAATGTAATCCGAATTGATCGAGATTTCTGCATCGAAAATGCGGTATTAAAACCGATTGAAAATAGTCAAATCGAATTTAGTACGCTTCAGGCGGGTTAATGTTGGGTGATATACATCCACCTCAATCCGAAATTATACGATTTCATAAGTTATAATTAAACCTGTTTTAATGCAATTGATTCTGCAATTGAAACGGACTCAGTTGTTAAAAACAAATATACAATTTCTGCGCAGGGGGTCCGCCTTATATCACCGCTTGACCGCTTTCTACTTTCAGGTTGGCTCGCCCGACCTTCGCCGCGTAGCGGCACCGCCCGGAACTACGCGCGGACGCGTGAGCGCGTGGGCCGCCAAGTTGCGGGTCGCACTATTGTATCGCGGATTGTGCTTAATGTGACGACCTACGGCAGCCACAATATCCATTCGATTATTTGTGTTTATTTGGATTGACAACAATATGGATTAGAATGTAATAATTTCAGATTGGAAATAATCCGCGAAAGCGATATTAAAACCGATTATAGTTTGTTCGGAATTAAAATCGATTACTTTTTAATCCGGGCGCGGATTGAACTGATTAAAACCAAATAAAACCGATTAAAACGGATTATGTTTTAATCGGTTTTAATCGACCATTTTTGGCAGGGTAGTCACTGCATGCCGCATCAGAACCACCAAAATCATAGACCTGACCTGCTCAAGAAATTGGAGGAAACAACCAAGAAGCCTTCCTTTTGACGCATTCGACCCCCTCTCAATACCCTCCGCTGGAATCATCTCATGCTTGGCCTCTTTCTTTAAAAAAATATGCAATCTGAATATCCGAAGATATAACTCGACATAATCTCTGCAGAGTTCCTGCAGAATCTCTGTCTTCACCATACATCGACTTGGCCGAATGGGCTAGTGTAATCGGGCCCGGAGCCATTCAACAGAAGAAGAAGAAGAGAAGAATATAAAAGTTTTGCGGTGTGTACGTGCAAAATAGGATACCTCTCCACTCGGAAATGCATGAAGGAATATAAGTGAACGTTTGAAAATGTATTTGAAAGCCTAGTAAGAAACATTTCGGTGTGCAAAATGTTGCATAGTAAAATCTTTTTTATAAAGCTTCTAAACTCACTTCTCAAAGTTTATTAATACTCTTTGATAAAATGCCGAGTGCGGAGTTCACTTGTTAGGCACGTGCAGGTTGCAGGTTTTTTATATTAAGTAAATGTTGACGGCAGAAGCCGATAACAAAACTGTAATTTTTTAATTTTTTTTCACTTTTCATATGAAATCATAAACCCCGCACTCCGTTATTATGTATACTTTAATTATGGAAAAGGATTTGTTGATATCTATAAACAACAAAAATATTTTAACTAATTTTCGTATTCAGATTTATAAAGAACTTTAAAAAATTTGCAGCAGATTTGCCCCTTGTAAAATTAGTAGTAGATAAATCAATGCATTTATTGTTTCATTTTGTGTACCATATAATATAGGTATACAGGGTGATTCAAAACAACCTTCTGTCCTTACAATGTCATATACTTGACTCAATTTTAAGACGATTTTTCCTTTGCCAAAATTTTTTCCGAGGCTTAGTTTTCAAATTATAAGCCAAAATAATTAACGAATTACGGGCCGCGTACGCAAGGCAGGCAGGGGCGGCGCAACTCACCGTCCGATGCTGGTGATTACCTGTATATGTACAGAATATATCATATGAAGTATAGTATTAATATGTACATACAACATAAATGTTTACACATTACAATATGTATATATTTGAATTACTTCTTATATGGTTTTTCCATTAATCATAATTCCTATTCCAATAATTACATAGAGCTTATATAATGGAGTAACTGTACATTGAAGGAGGATCGACAGAAAGAAATATATTTTTCTGTCTCAACTGTAGAAGTAGATCCATAATTATGCAATCTGGCATTTGTTTCATTTTATTTCTTTGTAAAAATGTCTTTGATGTAACATCTACTTAAATTTTTATGTGTATAATTAAAGACAAATATATAATAATAATAAAACCGATAAAATGAAAATGAGACATGTAGAAGTGGAAAATAAGAAATGATCAATATGTTATTGATGTGGCTGGCACACATGTGACAAGCCTATTCTGTTGGAATAACTTAGACAAGTTTATTCTATTCTATATTTCCTTAGAAGGATAACATGGAGTGGAAACCCCATAGTTGAGGCAGAATATATCCACCTTAAACAAACTTTTTTCTATGGTTGACATATAGGCAATAACTATTAAAATTCACGTTTATAACATTATATATTTCTTAAATTCTTAAAATAATTTTATATATGAATATATTTTGTTCTTATAATGAAAAAATAACATGTCAAAAATAGTAAATAGACTTTTATTTTTATATACATATATTTTATCGATTAAGGAATTTTGCAATACAATCTTTACTGCAGAATAATTTATCTTCTTTTATCGTCATTCTACCATTTAGTAAGTTCTTTTCACAACTATAGCAGCAAAAGCAGGTTTCAGTTGCATGAAAGTTTAAATTTTTTATCGCTACACCCTGTTGATCAGCAGCAATCACAATATTGCAGGCAGCACATGTCTTTGCATATGATTTTTGATAACAAGGAAGACATAATGGACGATCGTTTTCAGTAATGTATTGTTGCCCAGCTAATGGCATATCGCAATCCCAACAACAGAAATGTTTCACATGATAATTGTGCCCTTCTGCAACTGTATATTCTCGTACAAAAATTAACTGCAACAAATAGAAGTGACAAAAAAGGTTAATTAAATTTTCATTTTAATCATTTCAAATATGGCTTTTGACAAAATATATTAATATCTTTATATATATATACAGGGTGTCTCACAACCTCCGTACAATACTTTAATAGTGTATTCTAGAGATAAAATAGAGTAAAAAATTCTAATATAAAAATTTTGAGGCTGCAATAGTTTTTGAGTTATAAGCGATCAAAGTTTGCCAATGATATCGCGTAGAGCTCGCGCGCTTAGATCCGTACACATACACACCGATCTGTCATCTGTTACTGATTTTACAAATTAGGTAATATTGGTTTTTATTGCACAGCTGATTTTATTGTTTCTTATGTATGGCTGGCACACATGTGACAAGCCTATTCTGTTGGAATAACTTAGACAAGTTTATTCTATTCTATATTTCCTTAGAAGGATAACATGGAGTGGAAACCCCATAGTTGAGGCAGAATATATCCACCTTAAACAAACTTTTTTCTATGGTTGACATATAGGCAATAACTATTAAAATTCACGTTTATAACATTATATATTTCTTAAATTCTTAAAATAATTTTATATATGAATATATTTTGTTCTTACAATGAAAAAATAACATATCAAAAATAGTAAATAGACTTTTATTTATATATACATATATTTTATCGATTAAGAAACTCTGCAATACAATCTTTACTGCAGAATAATTTATCTTCTTTTATCGCCATTCTACCATTTAGTAAGTTCTTTTTACAACTATAGCAGCAAAAGCAGGCTTCAGTTGCATGAAAGTTCAAATTTTTTATCGCTACACCCTGTTGATCAGCAGCAATCACAATATTGCAGGCAGCACATGTCTTTGCATATGATTTTTGATAACAAGGAAGACATAATGGACGATCGTTTTCAGTAATGTATTGTTGCCCAGCTAATGGCATATCGCAATCTCAACAACAGAAATGTTTCACATGATAATTATGCTCTTCTGCAACTGTATATTCTCGTACAAAAATTAACTGCAACAAATAGAAGTGGAAAAAAAGGTTAATTAAATTTTCATTTTAATCATTTCAAATATGGCTTTTGACAAAATATATTAATATCTTTATATATATATACAGGGTGTCTCACAACCTCCGTACAATACTTTAATAGTGTATTCTAGAGATAAAATAGAGTAAAAAATTCTAATACAAAAATTTTGAGGCTGCAATAGTTTTTGAGTTATAAGCGATCAAAGTTTGCCAATGATATCGCGTAGAGCTCGCGCGCTCAGATCCGTAA